GTCCCCCTGTACTCGGCACCGGTGCGGCAGCACATCAAATACTGTGTTCAGTTTTGGGCCCCTTCCTACAGGAAAGACAATGAGGTGCTGGAGTGTATCCAAAGAAGGCCAATGAAACTGGTGAAGGATCTGGAGCACAAGTCATACAAGGAGCAGCTGAGGGAACTGGGGTTGTTTAGCCTGGAGAAAAGGAGGCTGAGGGGAGACTTTATCGCGCTCTAAAACTATGAGGTTATAGCGAGGTGGGTGTCAAGTCTCTTCTCCTGAGTAACAAGCAATAGGACAAGAGGAAATAGCCTCAAATTGCAGTGGCGGGTGGGGGTGTGTGGGGGCAGTGTTAGATTGGTTATTAGGAAAAATTTCTTCACCTAAAGCATTGTCAAGCATTGGCACAGGCTGCCCAGGGAAGTGGTTGAGTCACCATCTCTGGAGGTATTTAAAAGACGTGCAGATGCGATGCTTAGGGACATGGTTCAGTGATGGATATGGCAGTGTTAGGTTAACAGTCAGACTCAATGATCTTAAAGGTCCTTTCCAACCAAAACGATTCTATAATGAAGTAAATCGCATGATCCTTAACAGCTCTAGAGTGACTCACTTCTTCCTACTGAAGACACAAAGAGAGAGCAACAGAAACTGCACTCTAGACTGGTTTTTGAGCATGAAGGGATTAGAACAAAGATCCCTAACCTGTCTCCTGGCTGGGTACAATCTTTCAGCAACCAGTACTAAACAGATAAGACATATCGGAGAAGAATTAATTTCACAGCAAAAAAAAAAAATCTAGGGGCAATGTATTCTTGTACTTTTATGTATATATATACTTTGTATACTTTATTGTTTAGTTAACAATTGGTACACACCCTACTAGCTAAAATCCAACACAGCCACCTTCTATCCTTTGAGATTTTAAAATCTAAGAATCATTATAGGTGGGAAAAATTAAAGTTATGTGGGATAGTAAGTTACTGCAGGTCATCACCTACGAAATTTGCCAAATTAAGTATGCATACACTAATCTGAGGAACAGCATCCCTCAGTGATAGAAGGGTGCTTACCACTGACACTATACAAAGCTAACACAAAGATGCTGGTATACAATCACTGTATACTGTAAGAACTCCTGATGTCATGCCTCTCTGAATCATGCTGTTGTAAGAGAAATTCACTAATTATTATAGAAATTCCTGTAATGAACTCCTGCCTGAATCGACTCAAATGCAGTTCTGAAACCATTCAGGTGTCACTGAAGTTCAGCTGACCATCAAACAAACAGCCATGGCAGCTCCCTCAAACACCTCACTTGGTACTTGCAAGAATGTCTGGGCTCATCCAGAAGCAGAAATAAGTGTCTGGGAGCAGGCCAGCAGCTTTCTAGCAGCTTCTACCAGTTTAAATGTTTTTGAAATGATGACTCAACTAACTGGTGATACCAAAACAGATCGAGAAAAAATCTTTGCTACTAGGAAATGGTTACTTTCTCCTCAGATAAAAAGAAAACTGGAGAGAGGGTGGGAAAAAGAAAGTCAGCTAGTCACAAGAAGCAAGCAAGGCTTACGAATAGAGAAGAGACTATAAGTGTTATCTATTTTGATGTTAATTAAGATTTTAACCAGACTCTCATGAGAACTACCATGCTTTTGTACACATAAACACATTGTGCAACTTTCTGCCATTAAAACTGACTCAACAGCAGTGCCCATTAAATGCAGGGCAGAGTTTACTCCAGCAGCTCCCTCTGTCCTGACAGTCTTGCAAAGCTTCTCCCTTCTCCCACAAAGTCTCTTCCATACCCTCTTGGCATTGACCTCCAACAAGAGCTGGAAAAAGCTAAGTTGCAACTCTGTTTGCAAAGGAAGATACAAACTATTTTTTTTTATCACAGAAATATGGTACTGTATATGGGGAGCAAAAACAGTTGAACAATTCCAAAAGAGTAACTATTGATAACTCCCTGTGAAAAATTAAGTGACTGGATTTCAGGCAGCCTGGGTAAAATAATATTTAATATTGTCACCAATGACTTAGACTACTGAATAGGGATAAGCTTTTTAAATTTGTGGGTAACATCAAGATGCAGGCGGATGCAAACAAATTACAGGGTAGAATGAGAACTACAAATTATCCAGAAAAAATATTTCTTTCTTTTAAGAAAAAAAAAAAAGAAAAAAACAAAATAAAAGTCCTCTCAGGACACATATACCATTAAGAAAAGCATGAGGAGGCTATGCTTGTATTCATGGTTAGACACAGGCGTTTTAGACGATGAAGCAGGAAGAAAGGAAGACCTATTTATAGGTTACAGATGCTTTAACATACATCCGAGTTGAAAATTCTGCTGCTAAGAAATGAGATTTCAAGCAGCAATACCAGTTTAAAGTTATTTCCTCATCACTGCTCTTTCCTGTTCTCACATCGCAGGGCCTTAGGCCTGGATAGTACTAGGAAACATAAAAATTTATGATAGGTGAGCTCACCCACCAGGTTGCTCCAGCCCACTCACCATTTCTCCAGTTCAGAACACATGATTTTGCTCATTAAGGAAAGCTAACTCAGTAAAAGATTTAATGTAAGTTCTGACAGATCAGCAGACAATTTTTAGGAGGGTCAGGAGGCAAAGCACAGCAGCATCAGGCTGTTAGATTCGCTCAGCCATCTCATGAAGTCTTACTGCAAGACTTCAAGACTTCTGACAATACTGCAGATTACATTTTTCCGAAAGTAATCCAGAGAATTTATGGACAGCCTTGGTTTCAGATCAGTGTGAGACTTCTCGGAGGGATCTTTCTAAACTCTGAAACAATTACAGTAATTCCAACACTATTGACAGCAAAACAATTGTCACAGGATTGTACAGCTGGCCACCAGCAGAGAAAACACCCAGGTTTACAATTATTATGCCTTAAATCCTACACTTTCTCACTATATTTTACTGAAAAACTCAAAACTGAACATATATATATATATCACTTACATTAGGGCTCACGGAGGTATTGATTGCCAATACAAGCGGTAAAACTCGCAGTCCTTACACTCCCATGTCAACCCTCTGACTTCACTGGCAGGTTTTAAAAGCAGATCCTAAATTCTATTCAAGCAACAACTTCTCTTTGAACAATTTAAATCTTACAGAACAAGTTATCTGTGCCTCCTGCTGATTAATCTTATGGAGACCTAATCTTTAAGCTACAAAATAATCTGTAGGCAAACTTATTTTTACAGCTTACATGGTACCAATCCATTTCATGATCTTACAGAAGAAAAATCCCAATCACGTATAATATGCTAATATTCTGAACAAAACTGAAAACTAAACATTCACGAGTTCACTTTTTAAATATCAGCTTGCCAAGGTTCTACTAAATTCTCAAACTAGTTCCACTAAATTCTCAAACTCGTCTACATTATCACTCTTTTCTTAAGGCACTGAGAATTCTCATTAAGCGTAGAGCACATAAGCCCTGAAGCACTCTGGCAACACCTAGAGAGGCTAGGCACTAACTTGTGGGTACCCCAAGGTGACTTTAGTAACTATCTACTCTGCACTTTTACTGGGTGAAATAGCTGGGACTGCTGGAAAGGGATGGAAGCAATGGCCTGCAACAAACCGGGTGCCTCCTCCATCCCAAAGTGATTAGATGTTATTACATAACAATACCAAGCTATTAGCTTGTGAAGAGCCTACCTGCAGGCCTAAAGCAAGTTACAAAACTTGTTTTGCCACACAGACAAGTATGTAAACCAAGAGATGAAAAAGACTTCTTCATACTTAAAAGAATCCCTGGGAGGGGCATATGTGCTAATGAATACATTCGTACTTTGATTAGTTTCACAGGCTTTAAAAAAAGACTGTTGTACACAGCCATTTCTGGTTTCATTTTCCCTAAATAATTCTCTTACTAGTATTAAATAAATACTTTGCTAAAAGAAGAGGACCAGTCAGCTACGTTCACCAGCAAAGAACCACCGCGGGCTGAAAGCGTGCGTGGCATCACAGGGCACACACAGTATCACAAAGAATACCTGGCATACTCAGAGACCTTTACAAAAGTTTGGAGTTACTACATTATCATTTAACCTCTTTCAAATGCGAGCAAATCGAATGATAACGAAATCAAGTGAGTTCCACAGCCCCTCAGCAGCTCAGGTAAAAACGTAACTTAAGATATGGCAGCATTTGCCTACCACAAAAAAAAAAAAAAAAAAAAAAAAAAAAAGGCAAAACAGTATAGAATTACTGTATTTTCTCCTACTTCAGCAACTCGGAGGCTAGAAACCAAAGGAACACTGACTGCTTCGACAAGTACCTCTCTGCCCGTCTGGATGCACAGCACATTCTCCTATCAGTTCCGGACCGTTCTCCGTAACGGTATTACTTAGTGTTTTAGTTAAGAAGAGTTGAGCCTCGTAACCCACCTAACAACCAACTCCGCGATCCAGAGGTCCACAAAGAGAAGAGCAAAACCACGGAAAAGCAGCGCCCTTTCACTTTCGCCGCGCCGAGCCTGTTTCAGCACACACTTACTTCACTGGACCGAGGCGGCCAGCGTCGCCCAGAGCCGCCGCCACCCGCTGCCTCCGCCCGCCGCTCCGGCAGCGCCGAGCGCTCGCAGAGGGCCGGGCCGGGGAGCGGCTCCCGGCCCCACGCCGGGCCGGCCCACGGGGGAAAGGAAGGGAACGAGGAGGAGAAAAGGGGGGACCCCCGTCCCGCCGCTGACCCGCGCCCGGGGCCCCAGCCCGCCTCACCGCTCCCCGTGGCGGGAGGGGACGGGGAAGTCGGCGCGGGGAAGTTGCCCCGCCGGGGGGGGGGAGGCCGGCAGCGGAGGCGAGGGCAGGCGGCCAGCGCCAGCCTGGCGCGGCTGCCCCCGCGCAGGGGAGAGCGATGCGCGCCCGAGCGGCAAAGCCCGGCGGCGGGAGGGGCGGGGGCCGCCCGCCGCCTCAGGGAGGGGGACGCGGGCGCCAGCCCCCCCCCCCCCCCCGCTGGGAACGCCAGCCCTTACCTGGGCTGCAGGGAGCCGGGCGGGTGGCGCAGCGTCCCCTCAGCGGCCGCAGCGCGCAGGCTGCCCCGGCCCGCCCGCCGGCGACGGAGCAGGAAGCCGAGCGGAGCCGCCGCCGCCGCAGAGGCTGAGGGAGGCGCGAGGGAGCGGCGCGCCCGCCCCCTACCGGTGGCGGACCGGGGCCGCGGCGGCACCGCCCCACAGCCGCGCGCGCCCGCCCGCGGCCCTCGCCGCGCCTCGACCTCCCGCCCCCCCGCCGCCACCGCGGGGCGGACACGGGTGGGGTGCGCGCGAGGTTCGGCGCGCCTCGCCCGCCTCGCGGCCGGGCCCCTTCCCGCTGCCCACGGGAGCTTTCTGCACGCCACGCCGAAGGCGCCCCGGCGTGGGCCGGCTGGGCTGGGCTGGGCTGGGCTGGGTGGCCACCGGCGGGCTCCCGCGACGACCCCACGGGCCGGGCTCTCGGCCGCAAGTGGACGCCCGAGGGGGCGAGGTGTGCCCACTCGCCTGGGGCCCCGGGACGCCCGGGACTGCGAGGCTGAAACGCTTATGCTTGTTTCCTTTTCTATTTTAAACACACTTTTTTTTTTTTTTTTTTTTTTTTTCCCCAAACACACCAGAAGTTGTCTTCTGTTACCAGACAGAAACTGCATTTTCTGCTTTTTTTAAAAAAAGCTTTTTCTGATCTGTGTTGCCATGTAAGAATAAAAAGTAGTCCCCTTTCTCTGCTTTATCCTTGGCTGTGCTCTGTAGCTGCTGTATCTTTTTCCCCCTTTTTTTTTTTGTTGGTTTTTTTTTTTTTTTTTTTTTTTTTTTTTTTTTGTGTGTGTGTGTGTTTTGGTTTGGTTTGGTTTGTGGTTTTTTTTTTTTGTTTGTTTGTTCGGTTTTTTTGGTTTTTTTTTTTTTTGTGTTTTTTTTTCTTTTGTCTCTGATAAACTTCTAACTCCACCATGAGTTGGCATAGGTAGGGAGATAAACTGGAAGGACACCCATTTTATTCTGTGGAAGATTTCTGCCGGTCTGACTCCCTCAGCTGGACTATTGATGGGGTGGATATAGAAAGTGCTGGGGCAGCAGCCAGCCAGATTCAGTCAATTCCACTATTGTCAAACCACAAAGAGCAGTTTTAAAAAATCAGCGTGACACTTCTCTTAGCAGAGAACAAAACCACAGCTAAAATATAGGGCATATTGCACATCATCAAAGTCAGGTAGACAAAAGGAAATTTCTATTTCTTATGTTAAGCACATCTGGTCAACAGATTTTTCTTTTAATGGGTTTAAAATAACATACTTTGATACCAACTGCTCCTTGATACAGGGTGGTTTTTCGAATATCAAGTAATTTCTTTAGTAAATTCTCACAACACATTGAAGTTTCAGTCATGCTGCAATCTCAGAATGAACATAGAAATACCCAGTGGAAGAACTGCTCAAGAAAAGAAAGTCTTCGTGCCTTTTAATCCTAAATTATTATATAGTTTTATCTTAGTTTGACAGTTATTTAAGTGCTTAATATATGAAATTTCACCATGTTCCCTTGATTAATTATTAGGGGACACTGCCTACATAACAGGGTAATAAGGTCAGTATGCTAAAGGAGGCTGGCTCCTTTGATAAGCAAAAGATTGCAATAGAAACAAACATTTTAAAAAGATAAGTAGCACTATCAAATTATTAAGAGAAGAAATAATATTATCTGCACAATAACCAACACTTCAGAATACATCTCTATCAAAGTCAAAGAAATAAGTAAGACTTGAAAATGGCTGTGATTAAATCCAGTTGATTATTTACCTGGCTAAAAATGTGCCACAACGCACACAGGGTGGAGAGTCACACATCTCTGGAAATGTTGCAGCTGGGAGGAGCCCAAAAAAGAGGGGGTATGCCAGCCCCCACAGTGCCTCAAGAAGGTTACGACATCCTCTTTTTCCTTTTTTCCTAATTTGCCTTATAATTTTCCCTTTTTCATAATTTCTTTTTTTTTTTCTTTGTAATTTGCCTTATAATGAAATGGCTGTGGCCATTAAGTAGAGGTCCTACATAAGAAATATAAAGAATATCTGTACCTATGGGAGTTTATTTTGCTTTTTATTATTGTCTGTGATGAACTGACCATTTTTGCTTCTGTAGATTAAGAAATTCAGTATGAAACAATGTGTTTTATAGCCACATATGTTCTAAATATTTCATCACAACATAACGTGTTCTAAATTTACAACTTTTAAATCCAGAATGCTTCTATTTACTTAAAACAATAAATAAAATAGCTTGTTTTTATTGCTACACTATTAAACTCTAAGAAAAACAGATACCATAACAGTTTATTTTGGAAACATCAGAAACCAAAATGTCTTAAGAATTCAGGTACATTGGGCCTGAACAAAGATGAGCTTGTTGGCCTTACATCTTTGGCAAGTTTCTTTGCCAGTATCTGTAGCATTTGACCTGAATTTACTTTCTTGTCTCATAAGTACTAGTTTTTACTAAGTGAAACTATAGCAGTGCACTATGTTTTTGATTTTTTGTTGTTGTTGGTTTTGGTTTTTATTGAAAATGAAAGCATTTCTTTCATATAATTACAGGAAAGCTAAATGTGGTGCATGCTTTATTTAACATCCTAGGGCTAATGAGGATAAATGAAAACAAAATAAAATACAGAAGCAAACCTGTTCAAGTGCTTTATCTCTAGGCTGTCGATTATTGTCTCTGGTAATAGATGTTCTGCTAATCAGCCATCAGTCTTGATTTTCAGTTCTGGTATCAAAGCAATTCCTGGCGGCTTTAAAAAGTACTTTTTCCCTGTAAGCTTAACCTTCACGTTTGCATGCTATAAACTAATACTTCTGCCCTAGCAGATCTTTCCATGCCATTTTGAATGAGCCAGCCTCAGACTGCTGGCAGAGACCCAGCTCTTCAAGGCTTGGTATATCTCTGGCATAAAAGTTACTTTTATTAACACAGCAGCACAATCATAGGAAACCCTTTTTTTTTGCATTTGGCAGGGTAGTATTACAGTGCTTTGTTAAATAAGACTCAAACCCTAGGCCATTTTTTAAATATACAGGGAAGGAAAAAAAAAAAAAAAAAAAAAAAAAAAGAGACTAGAAGAAACTTACTTAGAGAATGCTGCAGGCAGCTTACCTTGAAGCAATTGGAAAATTCCCAAGTTGTTCAACAGCAAGTTGTGAGTTGCTTAACTATAAATAGAAGCTAGAATGCATAAGCACAACATGAAGCCCACACCTCTCTTCTCTTCTGCTTCTTCCAAACACAAGAGTACACGTATGAAAAAACTTCCTTAAAACAACATTTTGTTAGCTTTATGGCTGGTGTAATCAAGTTTTATATAAACAGTATGAATTTGTATCTGAAAGAGAATTTATTATTTGGTGTTTGCCCTGTGAAGTGATAAGTATTTAAAATAGATACCTTCTCATTTTTGTGACTTCTCCCCCTGTTGCTATCAGTTTATTTGCAAGTAGCCAAAATATCAGGTCTCTGATATGAGAAGTCTGAGTAACAATGGATAGAAGCGATGGATATGTAAGTAATCCAAACATCTGAGTCCAGAGGATGGATTTGAACACCTCCAATCCTTTCTTGTCACTGAGGCACTGATCCTGATCAATATTTCACAGATATCTCTTCCTGTAATGTAAAAATAAACGCCAGGTCCAAGCATTCCCAAACTTTCAGATTTGTTTGAGTTTGTGGTTGTTTTTTTTTTTCTTTCTTTCTTTACTTAGGTTTATTTTTAGTTCAAGTTAAGTGCATATGATTATAAAAAGAAATCTGGATGTAAGTGAGCAAAATTACACTGCAGTCAGTATAATCGTAGTTGCTAAAATAATGTCACATTTCGACCACAGGGTTTCCTATTTAACTTTCCTCCCTGTGAGTATTGTTTAACTCTTACAGGCTGGTGGTAGTAGAGACCAAAGTCTTCTGTAAATTATATATGCAGGATAGGTTAGAGGAAGCTTTATCTTGTTTGTTAAAGTATCTTAAATGTTACAAGGACTATTCCTAGTGTATAATACCCTATTAATTCCTTATGAAATGTTTTTTGTGAAATCAGGAAATTTGGTGCCAATGAGGACAGGGTATTCTGTCATTTAGACAATATAAGTGGAAGGTGGTAATTTTCTTTTGCCATACGGGATTCATAAATATTTGTCTTAACATCTGGTACATAGGTATTAGTGCATATGCAGTGAAATATTTCTGGCTTGAGGTCTTATGAGCAATGTGTCGTGAACTGGAGACCCACATGAAACCTGTGCACAGTGATAGAGAGCAAAATGGCAAGCTTTCACAAAACCTCTAATCTGTGGATGTGGAGACCTTACTGTTCTCATATATGACATTACTGAATCCAAGCAGTCTCCCAAAGAGCTTTAGAAGTCCTAAAAATGAGTGCTTCAGTTTTAGTTGAGGAGCATCTGAGGAACACTTCCAACTGAGATTGTACCCATTCAGATCAAGAACAAGCATCACCAGCTGGAAACTGTAGACGCCCTGAGACAGACACACTGTGGATGGTGTTGTTCATGATCTGAGCTGTGAAGGGTCAAGAGCGCTGCTCTGGACATCTTGGGTTAGCTGGAGAGCTCTTTTTTGCACAGTGAAGCTCCTCCCACTACAACTCTTCCTCACAAGAAACATATAAAGCTGGCTTCTGAGTTTATTAATGCTTCATTTCAGCAAGATATTGTTCCTGATTCATAAGTTCTCAACCAGCTTATACGTTTCCCAATGCAGAACTTCATGCATCCCTGCTGCTTCCTCAGAAAAAGGGCAATTCCTCCCCTCCTTCCCAGCCTGTCTTTGCTAAATCGCTTGTCTCCATCCATTGCACCACCCCAGTTGTGTGAGTTATCCCACGACATCACTGTGATCCCAATGAGACATGGTATCCCTGCAACTTCATTCAGACCTCTAATTCCTCCTGTTGGTTCTTCATACCGCGTGCATTAATGTACAGGCACTTCAGATGGGCACCCAGTTATGCTGATTTCCCAAAACAGGTAAGAGAGCTTTCCCCACAGTGACATATCGTTGCCACTTCCTTCCTGATGTGCATTTTCTTAAATTGACTTCTTTCACACTGTCCTGTTGATTACACACTGCCCTGCACCTTT